TGGTTGGACTGGCTGATCTCAGAGGGCTTTTCCAACCTAAGGGATTCTGTGATTGCAAATCCGAAGGAATGTTGGATGTAGTGGTTCGACCCCACTCAGTTGTTGCTCACCCTCCACCTCCTCAGAAGATCTGGAGGGATTAAAAATCCCTGTGGATGTGGCCCTTGGGGACACGGGCCAGTGGTGGCCTTGGGTTCAGTGGTGGCTTTGGGGGAACAGTTGGACTCGATGATCTCGGAGGGCTTTTCCAACCTGACCAGTTGAATGATTTTATATTTCAACTCAACCCTGAATTGGGATAATTTGAATTCCCTGAATGAACCTTTCCTCTTTTCCAGGGCGCCCGAGAAACCTTCGAGAGCTACTACAGGAAGCAGAGGAGAAAACAAGCCCGGCTGGTCCTGCAGCCTCCTTCCAACATGGTACCTCCATCCCTGCTCCCTGGGGCATCCACAAAATTCCCAGTGGCTCTTGGGCCACCTCAGTTTTAATCTTTATCCCCTCTCTCTTCCTTGCAGCACGAAACCTTGGATGGCTACAGGAAGTATTTTAATCAAATCGTAGGGTAGGTGTTCTTTTTATACCCTTTTTTATTCCCTTTTTATACCCCCCCAGAAAAAGGGGAGAGGATGAGGAATGTTGGAATTTTTGATGGTCCTTTAGGCCCAAAAGAGGGAAATGAAAGGTGGCTTGTGCTTTTGAAGTGTTGCAGAGTGGATTTTATGGCACCAGTGGGAGCGTGGAGGGACCTGCCAGCTCTTGGAGCAGCCAGTGGATTTCTGGGAATTTCTGGGAATTCGAGGATAAATAACCTCTGTGCACTCTGTGCACCTTCTTGCCCCACTGATGAGGGGAACAGGCCCTCTGCCTTAATTATCCTTGCATATTTCATAGTTATTCTGTGAGGATTTTCCTTGGAAAGGAGGTGATTTTCAACCCCCTGGTCTTTATTATCGCTCCCAAATTTCACACGAGTCTTCCAAACCCATCCCAGCTCCAAGAGGAGGCTTCCAAAGACTTTTTAATCCATCAAACCCAGGGGATAATTGGATATTTTCATCACCACGTGCTAATAATTTCAATATCTAATTATCACCATCACAAATCCAGTGCTGGGCTGGATTTCCTCAGCAAAACACCTCTGAGATTTTTGGGATTTGGGGGGTTTAAAACACCCCCTGTCACTCTCCCTCCCTAAAAATAGGGGGTTTTGGAGCAGCACATTCCAGAACTGGGGGTTGAAGTGAACTCCCTGGCTCTAAATTGTTGTGAGGGTTTGGGATATCTGGATGGGAGAGAGGATTTTTCCCTCCACCTAAAACATTTTCCCCGGAGTTAAAGCATTTTCCCTGTAAATAAAGCCCTTTTCCCTGTAAATAAAGCCCTTTTCCCTGTAAATAAAGCCCTTTTCCCTGTAAATAAAGCCCTTTTCCCTGTATATAAAGCCCTTTTTCCTGTAAATAAAGCCCTTTTCCCAGTAATTAAAACATTTTCCCTGCAGTTCAAGGATTTTCCCTACATTTAGAGCATTTTTCCTTGGAGATAAACCACTTTCCCTGTATTTCCAGCATTTTCCCCTGCAACTGGAGCATTTTCCCTGCAGATAAATCATTTTTCCCTTCATTTAGAAGACTTTTCCTTGCACTTAAAACACTCTCCTTGTATTTAAAGCATTAAATACATTAAACATTTAAACATTACCAGCTAAAACATTTTTCCCTTTCCCTGAAACATTTTTTCCCTGCAATTTGAGCAGTTTCCCTGTATTTAAAGCATTTTTCCCTGTCCTTAAAACATTATTCCCTGCAGTGAAAACATTTCTTCCTGCAGGTAAAGCATTTTCCCTGGAAATAAAGCCCTTTTTTCTGGAAATAAAGCCCTTTTTTCTGGAAATAAAGCCCTTTTTTCTGGAAATAAAGCCCTTTTTTCTGGAAATAAAGCCCTTTTTTCTGGAAATAAAGCCCTTTCCCCCGTAATTTAAACATTTTCCCTGCAGTTAAAGCATTTTTCCCTGCAGTTGGAACATTTTTCCCTGCAATTAGACCATTTTTCCCGGCATTTAAATAATTTTCCTCTGCATTTAAATAATTTTTCCCTGCATTTAAATCATTTTCCCCTGCATTTAAATAATTTTTTCCCTGCATTTAAATAATTTTCTCTGCATTTGGAGCATTTTCCCCTGCAGATAAAACCCTTTTCCCTGCAATTAGACCATTTTTTCCTGGCATTTAAATCATTTTCCCCTGCATTTAAATCATTTTTCCCTGCATTTAAATCATTTTCCTCTGCAGTTAAATAATTTTCTCTGCAGTTGGAGCGTTTTTCCCTGCAGATAAACCCTTTTCCCTGCAATTAGAGCAATTTTCCCTGCATTTAAATCCTTTTTCCCTGCATTTAAATAATTTTTCCTGGCGTTTAAATAATTTTTCCCTGTATTTAAATCACTTCCCCCCTGCATTTAAATAATATTTCCCTGCATTTAAATCATTTTCCCCTGCATTTAAATCATTTTTCCCTGCAGTTGGAACATTTTTCCCTTCAGATAAAATGATTTTTCCCTGCAATTAGAGCATTTTCCCCTGCAGATAAAGCCCTTTTCCCTGCAATTAGACCATTTTTCCTGGCATTTAAATAATTTTCCCCTGCATTTAAATGAGTTTCCCCTACATTTAAATCATTTTTTCCCTGCAGTTAAAGCATTTTCCCTGCAGATAAAACATTTTTCCCTGCAGGTAAAACCCTTTTCCCTGCCATTAGACCATTTTTCTTGGCATTTAAATAATTTTCCCCTGTATTTTAATCATTTTTCCCTGCATTTAGATATTTTTTCCCTGCATTTAAATAATTTTCCCCTGCATTTAAATGATTTTTCCTGCGTTTAAATAATTTTTCTCTGTATTTAAATCATTTTCCTCTGCATTTAAATAATTTTCCCTGCAGTTGGAGCATTTTCCCCTGCAGATAAAATGTTTTTCCCTGCAGATAAAACCCTTTTCCCTGCAATTAGAGCAATTTTCCCTGCATTAAAATCATTTTTCCCTGCATTAAAATCATTTTTCCCTGCATTTAAATAATTTTTTCCTGCATTTAAATAATTTTCCCCTGCATTTAAATCATTTTTTCCTGCATTTAAATCATTTTCCTCTGCATTAAAATAATTTTTTCCCTGCAGTTGGAGCATTTTCCCCTGCAATTAGAGCAATTTTCCCCTGCATTTGAATCATTTTTCCCTGTCTTTAAATACCTTTTCCCTGCAGTTAGATAATTTTTCCCTGCATTAAATCATTTTTCCCTGCATTTAAATGATTTTCCTCTGCATTTAATTGATTTTTTCCTGTATTTAAATCATTTTTCCCTGCATGTAAAGCATTTCCCCTGCAGTTGGAGCATTTTCCCCTGCAGATAGAACCCTTTTCCCTGCAATTAGACCATTTTTCCTGGCATTTAAATCATTTTCCCCTGTATTTAAATAATTTTCCCTGCAATTAGATAATTTTTCCCTGCATTTAAATAATTTTCCCCTGTATTTAAATAATTTCCCCCTGCATTTAAATAATGTTTCCCTACATTTAAATAAGTTTTTCCCTGCATTTAAATGATTTTTCCTGCGTTTAAATAAGTTTTTCCCTGCATTTAAATCATTTCCCCCTGCATTTAAATCATTTTCCTCTGCATTTAAATCATTTTCCCTGCAGTTGGAGCATTTTCCCCTGCAGATAAAACATTTTCCCCTGCAGATAAAACATTTTCCCCTGCAGATAAAACATCTTTCCCTGCAGATAAAAAACATTTTCCCCTGCAATTAGAGCATTTTCCCCTGCAGATAAAACCCTCTTCCCTGCAATCAGACCATTTTTCCTGGCATTTAAATCATTTTCCCCTGTATTTAAAGAATTTTCTCCTGCATTTTAATCATTTTCCCCTGCATTTAAAGCATTTTCCCCTTTATTTAAATAATTTTTCCCTGCATTTAAATATTTTTCTCTACATTTAAATAATTTTCCCCTGCATTTAAATAATGTTTCCTTGCATTCAAATAATTTTCCCCTGCATTTAAATCAATTTTTCCCTTCATTTAAATCATTTTCCCTGCAATTAGACCATTTTCTCCTGCAGATAAAACCCTCTTCCCTGCAATCAGACCATTTTTCCTGTCATTTAAATCATTTTCCCCTGCATTTAAATAATTTTTCCTGCATTTCAGTCATTTTTCCCTGCATTGAAATATTTCAAATGTGCCTCCAACCCTCTTTTCCCGGATGCGCCGATCCCGCGTCTCCATTCCCGGGGGTGGCCCAGGGATGTCTCCAGCTCTCTCCAAAGCTGGAATGTGATGGCAGGGCTGTTGTCCCCTCTCCTCAGGTTCTTCGTGGTGGAGGATCACATCCTGCACACCACGCAGGGCTTGGTCAACCGGGCCTACCTGGATGAGCTGTGGGAAATGGCCTTGTCCAAAACCATCGCCGCGCTCCGGACGCACTCGGTGAGTGGGAGCCTGTGGATCCCTCAGCCCTTGGAATCATGGAATTATAGAGTCATAGAATTGCAGAATCATAGAATCAGAATCATAGAATCATAGAACCATAGAATCATGGAATCACAGAATCATAGAGTCATAGTCATAGAATCACAAGAGTCATAGAATCAGAGAGTCATAGAAACATAGAATCAGAGAATCAGAGAATCAGAGAAACACAGACTCATGGAATCATAGAATCGTAGTCATAAAATCATAGAATCACAGAATCATAGAATCATAGAATCAGAGAGTCATTGAATCATAGAATCATAGAAACATATAATCATTGAATCATAGAATCACAGAATCAGAGAATCGTAGAATCACAGTCACAGAATCATAGAATCATAGAGTCATGGAATCACAGAATCATAGAATCAGAGAATCATAGTCATAGAATCACAGAATCACAGAATCATAGAAACATAGAATCATAGAGTCATAGAGTCATAGAATCACAAAATCATAGAATCACAGAACCAGAGAATCATAGAATCATAGAGTCATAGAATTATAGAATCAGAGAATCAGAGAATCAGAGAAACACAGAATCATAGTCACAGTGTCATAAAATCATAGAATCACAGAATCATAGAATCATAGAATCAGAGAGTCATTCAATCATAGG